AGGCTGCACATAGATTTTTGTGAGACAAGCGGGGGAGTAAAATGGCTGGTGGTGGTAGACGCCAAGTCCAAATGGCCAGAAGTGATTAAAATGGGAACCACCACAGCGGGGAAAACAATAATAAAGCTGAAGGAAATTTTCAGCAGATCTGGGTTGCCCGAACAGTTGGTTTCGGACAATGGTCCCCCCTTCACGTCAGCGGAGTTTCGTACCTATTGCGAGAGAAGAGGCATTGAACAGATATTCACACCGCCATACCACCCCAACTCGAATGGCGAAGCAGAACGTTTTGTGCAAACGTTCAAAAATGCGCTGAATAAAGGGTTACGTTCCAATAAGACGGTGGAAGATGCCCTACTGGACTTGTTATTCGAGTATAGGGTAACGCCTCATGTAGCGACTGGGAAAGCACCAGCGGAAATGCTGATGGGAAGAACCCTAAGGACTACACTAGTTATAATAAGATCGAAAAATAACGCGTTGCCCCCGAGCAGATATCGCGCAGGGATGAAAAAGAATTATGATATTGGAAAAAAAGAACGGCGATTCAGCGTGGGTAAGAAGTTTTTATAAGGAATTACACCGGGTCGGGAGATCGGTGGATACCCTGTATTGTAGTTAAAATCTTGGGAACAAGCACGTAGAGGTCCACCACGGCATGGGGGTGAGAAAAACCCATGCCGATCAGGTGAAGAAAAGGGTTATCTAATGGGAGTTGGCGGATGAGGAGCTGTTGAGGAGAATGGAAAAGAGCACTTCCAAAAGGAACAGTGAGCTTACTGAAGAGCCGCTGCCGCGGCGGTCGAAGAGGAAGCGGCAAGAAACCGCTAGGATGACGGGGTATCGCGAAAGTGGAATGCGCAGGAAGATCAGTTGGATAGGGTTATCAGAAATGGGAGATGTAAACAAAAACAATAGATATGGCGTGAGGCCTATAAGAGGCTGGAAGGGGTAGGAAACTCAGTTATGTTCTCGTGGTCTCCACAGCAGCAGCAGCAGCAGCAGCAACCTCAGGCGGTACTCATCGGGGGAGAGGGGGGGCGGGCCAGTGGGGCCCGCAGCCGAGCCCCCCAGTGGTGCTAGTCCTGGTAGGGACTGGAGTTCCGGTGGCGGGGCCGTCGCTACCGACGCCAGCAATGGTGCCGGTGGTATGGACCCCGCCAGGAAGGCGGGGAAGACCGCGCCGCCGACCACAGAGGCGCGATCGCGTTCTGTGGTCGGCGTTGGAAGATATCCGGAAGGACCTCCACAAAAGGGAGGGCGAAGAACGCGGGAGGAGCCGCTCGGCATCTGGGGGGCGCCCCAGCCGACGGCGAAGTTCAAGAAGCCACAGTGGCCCGGCAAGACGAAGCCGCAGCCGATCAGGGCGGCGAAGGAGCCCGAATGAGCCTTGAAGAACCCCGGTGAGGGGAATGTTGATAACAAAGATGTTTGCAATAATGTTGGTATTATGGTGTTCAGAATACTGAGGGGTGAGGAGGAGGTAGACATATGGTTGAACCTCCTCACCCCGAGGAATAACACTTAGTACCCTGAGTGACCGTAGGGTCACTAGGGGGAGGTGTGAGGGTGTGAATGAATGTCTGAGAGAAGAGCATGAAGAGGGATCAGAGGATAGGCCTGATAGAAAGAGAGTGTATGTATAAAAGAGGCTACCCTCTCGAATAAAGCATTCCATCCTCTTGTGTTTGTCCGACATCGTCACTAGTCCATATGTACTTGTCAGTTATTTATTACACGATATTATGCAGCACAGCGGCAAAGGACACAGAAAAAAATATATGTGAATCGTTACCAGCTATCCTGTGTCTATGGCTATATTAAATTGCGCTACGCTGAGCAAGAAGCTAACAAGAGCCATGCGATTAGAGGCTCGTAGCCAAACTGAAGGAGACTATGGAAGAACCTTCAGCGTGAGTCAAAAGTTTAGTCGAACTCATTGGAACATCTGTCATTCAACCACTGACTATTTGTAGTTCTGCATCACAGCTACAGAGGCAAGGACGCATCGCGGATGAAGAAGAGGAAGAATATGATAGTTCCAGCGACCTCGATAGTGATTCTCCATCGGACTTATCGGTGATACAATGATATCATTTGTGATTACGGCAGTGAGTTTAGAACCCATGAACATATTAGAGATAAACCCGGAGGAAGCTCATCAGGTGCGTCTACTTTGTCATCTGCACCAAATCCTTCTATACTAGATGCTGCACAACACAATTCAGATGTTTTCCCATCAACATTAGCAAAACATCAAAGGAGACTAAGCCCAAGTGAATCAACATCACTGGACAAATGGATGAAAGTAGCGGCGACAATGAGTATGAAAACCTTAGTAGCAGCAGACGTACAAGGCGAAAGAGTGCCAGAAAAGCTGTCCTTACCAGTACCGATCAGTATCAACTAGATCCTGGTGGTTCACAGGAGGCCACGGTAGCACACTTTAGTGCAACACCAGCTGTGTTTTGGCAGTGAAGCTGAAGGTATGTGTATTGAAAAAAATTAGACAACAGGACATATTTCCAGATAACAGTTTGAACTATCATTCAGGTGATATATAAACGCTCTCCAAATACTCGATTGCTAAATAAAAAAGGAGACGCGGAGAGCAGGGCCTGGCATGAAATCTCGAAGCGAGGTAGTGTACTTCCGCAGCTGGCATGGTGGCGCCTTTCCCTCCAGCTACGCGAACGACTTATTATCAGCAAGAGCAACCACAACGAGAACGATGGATGAAGAAGGACAAGAAGAAGAGATCAGGCAAAGTGGCGCGTTGGCTGCCGCAAAGGCGCAATTCCATCAACGTGAGGAAGCGGGGGAAAGAGTACGCTATGTCTGCTAGTCACCCGAGATAGCTACTCCTGCGAATGTGCTAGACCATATGCGGGGTTCTAAACAGCAGGCAGTACTCAGGAAGGTTAGGAAACTTTCAAGATGAATACGAGCAACAATGTTTCAATCTACGGCGAGTAGCTTAACCGATCGAAGTAAGTTGGCTCTGTGTTTCTATATGCGAGACAAGCTCAGCATCAATAATCACCCAATTTAGGATTTCCCGTGACTTGAAATACGCGATATCCCAAGCATCAGTGGGAAAGGCTTATTTGTTAAAGTGAGTATCCAGAAAGATCAAGTAGTGAGCGATTACAGGTGACATAGACAACTCTTAATTTCCCATCGGAAACGCGATAACTAATTCGGGAACGTAGCAATATATTTTTCAGAGAAGCATTTGTGACCAAGGAGGAGTCAGAAGAAAGCAGAACGTCTTTTAGTTCGCGACTATGAAGTAGAATTTCTTGGTAAGTGAAAGGCGTTGTATTGTACGTGTCTTAGCCTCTTCAAGCTCCATCAATTTACAAAATTTCAGCACATCGATAAAAAACGCAAAAGTGAGCTGAAAAGCTATTCGATCTTGGCACTCAATCCGATCTACAAAGCTGCAGTGACACTCGGTCGATTATTCAATCAAGTAGCAAGCACCTCGATCATTATACTGTACGTTCCAGGAGCGTGAAGAAGCGAAGAAACGAGTCCGCTATTCCTGCCAGTTGCCGGAGATAGCTGATCCTGCAAATGTGCTTGACTTGCGATAGATGGTGAACCAAGGGCAACGAATGGAGCTTTTGGTCCTAATCAGGGCGAAAGGAAAAATACCGGCAAGAAAACCACCCCTTTCTATTCGCATCATTTTCGTTTAGCAGTTTTTTTTTTATAATTTCAGGCAGGCGAACAGATTTAATGGAACAACGGGAAGGACTATTCTAGCGCAAAGTCAACTATGGAATGCGTATGTAGAAAGTGAGTCCCACACCTCGGTATCATTGTTGACATACACAGTCAAACTTGTAACAAAAGCAAGCCGTCGCACAATAACTTTTGCAGTCTTATCCACCGACCTTCAAATCCCTATTCCATTTCTTCGAATGCTGAAGTTTATCCCCTTGGAAGACGACTCTTACTCATAGCAAACAAGAATCAGAATAACGGTGACGAAAAAAAAAATTGATGTACGAGTCGTGAACACAGCCAGTGATGTTTTTCATTCCTTGAACGTGAAGACTCGCATTCCTGGCCTCGAACCTGATGAGAATTCGGGTGCATTCGCGAACCTATTCGGTGTATATCGCCACAGTCTGCTGATGTGTTTGGGTTACTAGGTACGTGGGAAATCTTATAAAGACACTAGAATTCAATTCGCAGTTTCGATATTCCATCTAGGAAAACACTTATGCTCAGGATGACTACCCTACACGAAGTGATCTCGCCGACGTGCCGCCAAACACAAACACATTGCTGCAACTGTTATGTATGGCGTACAGAGATGCCTATGAAAAGAGTAATCCTGTGGTACTGGTACTGAAACATGAAAGAGGTCGAACATGACTCATGCGCAAGAAGCAAGTGGTGTTCGACGTGTTATTGGGGGAAATCATCAGTCCAGTGCAACGAAAACGATATGGAAACTGTACGACGAATCACAGGATAGATGTCAAACTGTGGTAAGTGAGCAGACCAACCCATGCTATGATGATGTGAATAATGTGTCACATGTGAATGTTTACTTCCAGGTCGAACAAACTGAAGAGAGGAAATCGGAAAAATCATTTTTACAAATGTTTGGTGAGAAAAGGCCCATGTACTTTCTACGAGCACATGAGACTATGTGGGCAGGACTGCGAAATCAGCTGCATATCGGCAAACAGGTAACTAAAAAACAACTAAATACCGTAAGAATAAAGCTCAGGTCCGATCCTTTATTGTTCATGTTTCCAAATGAGCTCATAAATTAGCACGGGGGTTGGGCACGATGAAATATTGGGATTGTTCTCAGCTTCGATTTACGGAATTTCAACACTGCACGTTTACTTAACTCCGCGCCTCAGCTCGTGTCTGTTGGAATTCACATTGAAAATGACTATGCCCAGGTAGAAAACGTTTGAAAAGTGTTTGGGAACGTCGTATACTTTCAGAACGTGTTCTTGAAAATTTTTGTTTTCTCACTTTGTTCTTTCTTCTCATCCTTCTATACACTTTCGTGCAAAATTTCATGTACTTTTTCCATTTTAGCAAGAATGTGTGATGTGAGAACGTTCGCACCACAAGAACGCTGCGTGAAATCCCCTTATGGACCTTAACACAACTTTGAAAAGGTTGCTTCGTTTTGTCTTGTGACCTTACCATCATGTTGTTTTATTTACATTGTAGAATTTGCTGAAATGTTCGTGGTATAATGACGATAAAGAGTTACGGCTGGCTCAAGTGATCGATTTGCGTATATGTGGGATGCCTCATCTCGATATATACTTTATAAATTGCCAGGACATCTAGGATCATTTAATGCCCCCGGTTTGCATCCAACTGAACCCATACGTAAGTCTTCAAATTCCTTGTCTTTTCATTGAATGAGTGGCAAGGTCTAAGTGGATGAGTGCTTTTTCAGTGTTATCCGCCGGAAGCGACGAACGTATTTTCTTGGGCGAAATTCCGTAATCGCTACAACCGCTTTGATGTCATTCTGTTTGTCCTATGTTGTTTCTCGTTGTCATATATTTCACCTGGGGTGATTACGAATAAAGAATCTCGCTTGTGGAGAGACTATTCTGGACCAGATACGTTCTTTGCGGATATTTTCTGCCAAGTTGAAGTTGTTCTCGTGCCCAGTTCTTAAATCTAGTGTCTGAACCTTTCTTATTAACAGCTATGATATGTAAGAGGTATAGCGCTCCAATGGTGGGTTGTAGCCTCGAGCTTTCCACTTTCGCACAGGCTAAGTTCACGTTTTCTCTCAAGTTCTTCTTTTGTATGGGCGTACACCGACAATCACAGGCCCGCTTGAGTGAATATCATTTTTTTGCAAATTGTACCGTCGTCTTGCACATGCTA